CCGTTTTCATTTTTAAAGTAACATTTTAACCGTGGCACTAAAATGTCAATTCTGTTGCCATCATGGAAAGGTGAACTCCTTTTTAGGATTTCCTGCTTCACACTTTTGAGGTTCTTGGTTTGAATCTCTGCTTTGGCCTTTCTGTGTGGATTTTACTTGCAGATTCTGTAACATTTCCATGAACAACCCAGGCTAAACTTGGCTCCTCCCCAACACGCAGCCTCCTTCAGTGGATATGTTATCAGTTCCTTCCGGCCAATTAATGCCTTCCCAAGGCTTTGGCCCTACCTTGCGGCATCGTTCAGCGTTCAAGAGAGCACAAAAACGGCAAATGCCACTGGTAAGGTTTCCGCGAAGCGCTACAGTATCTCAGGCTTCCATTTCAGCGTAAAGGTTATACCGCTGCAGTTAAAATGTAATACAGCGACGAACGTCTACATTTACAATGACTTGTTATTTTCAGAGGGCATGTCCACAACCTGCAAGCATCTTCACAGTCAATTATGCACTCAGATTGGAAGGTGGGGAGGAGGAGGGTAGCATCGCTACAATACATCAGCTGTAACCCACGCTAATACTCCAATGCTGCAGAGACGTCCTTGGAGGTGGGGGGGTGGGGGGGGTGGAATCTTTGATTTATCTGCACCTCGCCACAAAACATGGCCTCCCTCACACTTTGCCAGCTAATAAACCCTCAAGATCACACGCATACACACACACTCAATGGTGCACACTCACACACTCGTACGCCACCACCACCAGCACCAGCACCACCGCCCCCTAGATACAATCTCTACGTTAGCACTCTGCCTCTGCTACCCCGTCATAGTTGCGCACACACACACACACACACACACACACACACACACACACACACACACAGCTCGGCCACATTCCCTTGCATCTTCCTCATCTCGTCCTCTTTTTCTCCCCTCCCTCCGCTTGACTCATCCTCAACTCCACTTCTCCTCCCATCATCGTCCATCTGTCCCGACCGGTGGCCCGCACGGTAAACATCCCGATTCCCGCCCTCTTTCCCTCGTCAGAGTGCTTTGATAACGTTGCTATTAAACGCCGGCGCGACCTCCTCGGCATGCCCAAGCAAGCAAGCGATCCTCGCAAGGCTGCTCGGGTACTTCATATTTTGCGCACGCAGCCGACTTAAGCCCCTTAAGTGCTTTGGCAACACTTATTCCGGCGTGGCAACATGGAACCCATTAAAAGTTTGATTTGAATGAGAGGGCGCCAAAGAAGAAAGAAAGAGGGAGGCGCAAGGGTTGGGATCAGGGACACCATTTGGCATTGTCCGCACGCGCGCTTTGCTTGCAACAGACACAAAAACAAACACATCCACCAGCAGACTTGGCAAACTTACGTTCACACATTCATCGTTATTCTCCCCAAAACTCAAGTGTTCGTTGTGTCGAATAAAAGTGGTGCTTTTGCGCCATCTTTATTCCAAAGGGAACAGAAGTGAGATGAGGGGTTTCATTTCAACAAAAATAGTAATTTGCTCTGCCAGCACCTTGTGGTACCCTGGTGCCCAATGGGCTGTGTTGAAATGAGTTGAGGAGCTTCGTGTAAAAAAATAAAAATAAAAAATAATAATGCTTAGCTGTCATCTTGTGGCATCGATAGGCAACAGCAGCATCATATTTTACGTACATAAATTGAGGTTCTGATACTTTAAACAAGAGCAATAAACAGACTCTAAGTCATTGTGTCAAACTCAAGGTCCGGGGGCCAGATCTGGCCCGCCACGTCATTTTATGTGGCCCGCGAAGGCAGCTCAAACATGTCAACTTCCATGATCCTTTCTAAAATGTCGACCAAATTTTTAAATTCTCATTTGATGTAATAAATAAGACACATATTCTAAGCATGTTCTTGTTACCAAACATGTTTCCTCATGACTCGTAACTTTTCTTGATATGCTTTCGGCCAGTGAAACGGGAACTAAAATGTGCCCTGCGCCAAAAATGGGTTTGACACCCCTGCTCTTGTGTAGCTGTGGAACTACAGGCTTTTTATTTGGAGCGACTCAACAAAAGGTCAAAGAAATAGACATATCATTAGAGAAATCAAGAAATAAAGATCAAGAAATATCATTTCAACTTTTTCATGAAAAATTTCCAATGGTCCAAAAATAAATGTCACCGATCGCTCAGCAAAAATGACAATTCTGACGAACCTTGAATGCAGTTAATTATCGTGAAATCCTGCCGCAGTCCAAAAGTACTAATCCAACTCCTGAACTTAAGGACAAAGAACAGTACAGTGCGGTCAACTGTCCTGTTCTGTAGGTGTCTGAAATTTTCATTCGCTTGACTGGCGTTCGATATGGGTCAAAAGTGACAGCATGGAAAAAGTTGGAAGTCCAGGTACCAATATGTTTCTTCAGATCCGAAGGAAAAAAAAATGTTGAAGGCATTTGCCACGGTCATTTTTGCAGCCGAAAACATGAAATGGAATTCTGTTCAAGGTGGCCCTAGGTGCCGATCGTGCTTGTCCAAATCTGTTGTTAATGCTCCCCGGTTCACATTCCTCCATGTCGCTGCTGTTCTTGTTTTGAAGACCCCGAGATCCCAATCAACAGCGCGCACAAATACACGCTCAGCCGCTCGTGCGCCGATTTTTAATGCGTTGCCGCTCTTCCCGGCAATTACGAGCGGTTGCGGGGCTTTATTAAAAGCCACCCGATAAAAAAAAAACATTTGACTTTATTGGACTTGATTGTAGTGTGCACGCAGGTGTGTGGAGACCGATCAGTGGATGCGGAACAATGAGAGGTGGCGTTGTAACAGCGGAACTGTGTTATCTTTGCCTTTTATCGGGACAATGAAAGTCACGAGGGCCGCTGTGGCTGGCGTCCATCGCCGGCTTCTTTGTGCCGCCGCTTTCGTCGCCAATTGCTGTAATGATTGCGCATGTGACGACGGGGGGTAGAACAAAGGAACTGCATTATGGATGACGTGATGAAAAATATACCGACAAAACAGGAGAGAAGCGGCATCGAGCAAGGCTACTCCCAAGGTACGGCGTTTTGTAATGCCGAGGGTATTATTGCCCGTATGGATGTCAGCCCCCATTCACTTTCGACCTTTCCGTATTGAAGGGACAGTTTCGCTGGCCCCCGGCCGGCAAGGTCTCCACATCGCGTATACCAAACATGTTGTCACGGGGCGTGATAGCGAAGGACCCCAAAAAGCAGGCAAGAGAGAGGAGCAGGGTGAACTAGACAAACTGTATGAACAAACACTGAGAAAACTAAACCCAGAACATAAACCTGAAGAGAGCAAGAATCCAAAGAAACAAACAAAAAGCCATGGCAGAAGCAAAACACTAACAGGAACAGAATCAGCAACAGAAAACAATGACAGCAACAATCATCAAGTCTTTTCAAGTGACAACTAATGACACAATGACCAACAGGTGTGCAGCTGCAGGCGGAGCCCTACAGTGCCACCTGTTGGTCACAAACAGAACCATGGCACACGTGTACCAGGTAAGGAGTTTCATTCGTCTGTATGCGTCAATCGACAACGTGAGTAGCACCATCGTAGTATGCCGGAAGGGCCTTGTTAGCATTAGCCATTACTTGTTGCACCAGAATGCATTATTAGAGTGTTTTATGTGATGTTAATTCGCAGGGATGGCGGAGTACTGATACCAGGCATCAGTATCGGGCATATACCGGCCTTACTTTAAGATACCGGGGACTAGTGGGCGCTATACTGTGGCAGTTTGACACATTGGTGAATTAACATCTATGCCGCTGGTGTCAAAGTCAAGTCTTGGGGTCCAGATCTGGCCCGCCAAATCATTTTATGTGGCCCGCAAAAGCAAATCAAACATGGTAACTTCCATGATGCTTGCGAAAATATGGACCAAAATTTCAAATTTTCATGTGTAATAAATAAGAGCGACATTCTTGTTGCCAAACACCTCGTTGCAGTAACTTAAACAATAGTTGAATAAACTGTTAGTCTTGACTTCTTGATATGATTTCAGTCATAATGGCCCTCCAAGGAAAACGGTAACTAAAATGTGGCCCTCGACGAAAATGTGTTTGACACTCGTTATCTACATCTTTGTTCACAAGTTTGGGACATTCTGTTCAATGAAATTTTAGTGCTGGAAGTATCTATATTCAGTATCGATGAGTACTCAAAGAGTAAATATTCGTCTTGATATCCCTATTAATTAGTGAATATTACAGTCTTTCGATCGCGAGCTCAACTGCTTCCAATGTTGGAAGTGGTGTGCTTTGTCTTTCAGAATAAAAGCCTACGACAGGAAGTGGTTAATTACCAGTGTACATGTTGCTAACCTATCATTCCTGACAGTTGGAATTTTTGTAATTGTACTTCTTATTCATCCTAAATTTGAGTTCACTGACGACTGTGTTTTTCGTTATGTCAATCTTCTGGATGGCAATTCGCAAAATCGACATTTCTGGAGGTCTTTCTATTTCATGGACTTCCCTCTGTCAATGCTGGGAGTGGGATCACAATCACGCTAAAGTTTGCAGTTTACGAGATATTGCTCGAACAGGCCCATTTGTTGTCAACCGTCGATGCCGCGCATCCCCGCCGCCGTAAGGTGCCGCCGGCATTTCACACAAAGAGGCACTGTGATGCTTCTGCGGGCGCCTGTATGGATACATTAAGCAAGAGGCGACAGTGAAAAGGCCAAACACTGCCTAATTCGCACCCCACACCAGACATTTGGCCACATTCACATTTTTACACACACACACACACACACACACACACACACACACACACACACACACACACACACACACACGCCACCACTGTTTGCAGAACTGAAAGACAAGTATTGTCATTTCACCACACACACACTAACAGCAGCGCTTTAACCTTCACAAAAGAGTATGCAAAATATGCAGATGCTGATCCCACACGGGCACATGGATTCGGGATTCGAGCACGGTAGGGGGGGGCTGGCCGGGGTTATATAAACAAGTTGCAAGTCAGATAACGGACAGATGGATGCGATCTGCTGTGACACCTCTTTGGGATTATCGCCATATTTCTAATGAACGGACAAAGTCGCCGACGGGAATTTTGCGGAGAAGAAGCGACTGCCCGGATGGACGAGCAGATTGGAGGAAAGAGCCGGAAAAACGATTTTAGGAGATCAATCTGAAGTTTTTCTTTTCGTTGCGAATCAGCGTTGTTGAAGTCAGATCGGTGGCGATCAACTGGGAGGTGGGGGCGAGGGGGTATTTTTTTTTCCATGTTGGACGAGCCGTTGGCTCTTCGAGCTCGTTGGGTTTGCGGCGGCATGCGGAGCAGGAGGGTGCGGGCCGTGTTCGGGGTACTAACGCTTCATCCCTCAGTGGGTAGTGCTCGGTGAAGTGCGCAGCGGCGCTCACACAACCGGAAAAAGTCCAAAGTCCGTACTTCCAGGTTCCCAGGTAGATTACATTTGACGGCTTGAGTCCGCCGACTCGGACAAATTTGCAAAAGGCACCTCGAGAGGCTTCTGCTCTTCAACCTCGAATCGGATTTTATTTACCCCCGCGTTCTCCGCAGATGAACCGCGGAGAGACGGCGTGTCTCCAGAGAGGCGGCCGTTCAGGTTAGCGCCTCCAAGGAACGCCAACAGGTTCTCGCAGGCTTCGTTTGGAAAAACGCAGCGTGTTGATTGTTGCCCCAGATTCTCCAGTCCTCCGGGGCGCTACGATGCATTCATCTACACTTCTAAAGTTTGCATGCGGGCATCGTCTACCGAGATAAGAAACCTGCCTCTGCTGGGATGTTTTTTGTTTTTTTTTATGTTTCCCGGGCGCTCACAACTAGCTCAGCGCAGGTTGCACCGGAGTTTACAGTTTGAGTTACGTTCGATGGCACGGAATGCCGTATAAGTCACTTGTCTCTCGCAAAAGAAAAAGAAAATAAATAAATCAGGTCGGCCCAGCTGCGTTGTTGTCGTCGAGCTCCTCCGTTCTTCCAACGCGTGCTAAGTAGCGCAAAGGCATCATTAAAGCGCTTCACTCTTACCTCCTGGCGCTTAACTTTCGGCAGCCCGGCATTGCTGTTGAGCGCAAATTAGTGTTTTTTTTTTGTTTTTTTTTTTTGCCTTTTTTTTTTTTTGTTTTGTGTCGACTTGTTAGTCTGCAGTAAGGCAGGCGGGGTCACAAAGGAGCCATTGATTCTAAAGTGCACGTCAATACACAATGAGGCCCGCTTGGAGCTCTGTCTTCTGCCGCCGCCGCCGCCGCCGTCACCCCCCGAGCTCCCTCTCGCTGGCCCTGCGCAGCCTGGTCCTGGTCCCGCTCCTTCTGGGCTTTGCTCGTAAGTCCCACACGCACACACATGCATCCCTATTAAAGGAGACGTGCGCTATCGATTCCGCGGGGAGTCATTACGTGGCAAACAAGCCGGAGGGAGCGGGAGCATAATGCTTGCACGTACACTTTCGATCCGTATTAAAGCGCGGCTTGTATTGGAGTGGAGAACGTGTAATTACCGCCGGCACCGAGCTGCGATTTGCCTCAGTATGAATGTTTGTGCGCAACTTGTGCCCAAATAGTTCTTGATCAAGCTCATCTACTCTTCCAGTTACTTTTACTTGTTTGCGGTGTGCCTTGAGATTTTGATCATGAAAAGGTATGGAAACGTTGAAACGCGAGCTAATGGTGCAGCGAAGGCCCATTAAAACGAACACACGAGAAAACAACCGAAATCATCCAAGGAAGAGCACGATCGTGATGAAATATGCGTCTCGTCTGAAATGTTGAAGCTGTCAGTAATTACACTTCAACTAGGATTAGGAAAAGAGCCAATATTAGGACGGCGGCGCATGCCCCAGAGGGGTGAAAAGAAGACGGAGGAGGGAGGCGGTCGGAAATGAAAACAGAAAAAAAAAAAGATAATACGATACAGTGCCAGCAGACATTTTGCCCGGCATACGCAGAACATGTTGAACTGGGAAAAAGAGCTAGAAAGAAAGATAGATAGAGGAGGATGAGGGCCTCGCCTGACGACAAGTTTTGACAGGCGTCACGAGTGAGTGGCGGCGTTGTGACGCGCTATTAATACCTGCGCCGGTTCTTTCCGCCGTGAACGCAGCAGCTCCTCCTCGCGGGTAGACAAGCGCAGGCGCTGTCACCCGCCCGAGCGTCTTCCCAACGACTTCTGTGTCTTCGGCAAATACAATCAACAGAAGGACACTGTCTCACGTTGTATGGACGGAGCGATGTCAGGCGTCGGCCGCTACGTCTTGGCGGTCCCTCGGCAGAAGTGTTCGCTTGTCGCCAAAATGCCAGCTTTGTGTTTTTTGCCCTTCAAACGGGCGCGCGGAAAACAAAACTGGATTTGTGCAAAAGGCATTTTTGGAATGCTATCACACAATGTTAATGCTGTGTTACAATTCATGTCAAGTGGGACTCAAGTCAGGTCGTCATTGTAAATTGGAAACTGCTCGCAAGTTGGACAAAAGAAACCTGAAAGCATACGCGGCGGAACCGAAGTAGAAAGAACAAAATAAAATGAAACTATTATGGACGAGGGCGGCCCAGTGGTTAGCGCGTTGACCTCACAGTGTAGAGGCGCACGGTTTGATTCTGGCTACAACCTCCCTATGTGGAGTTTTGTGTTGTTCTCCCCGTGCCTGCGTGGGTTTTCTCCGGGTACTCCGATTTCCTCTCGGGTTCCAAAAACATGCACAGCAGGTTAATGGAACACTCTAAATTGTCCCAAGGTGTGAGTCTGGGAGTGCGGAGGGTTGTTCGTCTCTATGTGGCCTGCGATTGGCTGGCAACCGGTTCAGGGTGTCCCCTGTCTACTGCCCGAAGACAGCTGGGGTTGGCTCCAGCACCCCCCGCGACCCTTGTGAGGACAAAGCCGATCGGAAAATGGATGGATGGATATTTTGGACAAAAGACCGAAATGGCGGATTTTGTTGCCGGCTCGTTGGATGTGTGACTGAGCGGCGGATGCGGGGTCAGACAAACGGGGGGGGCTGGTTTGCGAAGGGTGAAGAGGGGTAATGGGATGGGTGGGCCAAGGGATGGAGGCTGCCTTTGAAACGCCGCCGGGCTGGAGAAGCAAAAGACTGGAAGGTCAACATGGGAAGCTGCGAGGAAGGTGGCAACTGGGGGTGGGAAGCTAATTGGGAATTTCAAGGAAAAATACGGGGGGGGGGGGGGGGGGGGGGGGGGGGTGAAATGTCAGATGATAAAGCGGAACTATGGCGAGTTATGAGACCAAATAAATGAAGATGCTTTGAATGAGGGGTCACGGAGTGAGCCGACACAATTTGATGCTGATTCAGTTGATTAGCTTTGCCGTCCTCCTGGAGTTGGAGAGTTTGGAGAAGGTTGTGCTGGTCGCAGATTAAGATGGGGAAGAAAGAAGTAAAAACAAGCCGAGGCAAGGAAGGAGGGAGGGCGAGAGAAAAGCTGAGCTACTGCCAATTAAAATAGGCCAAAGCAGAGCAGAAGATGAAAGCGGGACGGGGTGGCGGGTAAAAAAAAAAAAAAAGAAGCAAGATATCCACTCTTCACTCATTTTGTTCCATCCTCTCGTCCCGCTCGCTGGTCTGCGCCGCTTCCTTCCGCTCTCCCCGCTCGCTGTGGAAGCGCTGCGATTATGCCGCAGACTTGAGCTGCAGAACAAATCACATTTAGCAGAAGCGTGGGGGGGAAGTACAAGGCTGGCAATGATTCCCACTTGGTCCAGCGCTTTCCCACCCAAAAAAAAAAAAAAATGAGCGAGGGGGAAGGAGGGTGGTGCGGGCGAGAAGGGAGGCTTTTGTGCAAAAGAAAATGGGGGGATGGATAATGAGGAAATGGCGTGAGGAGACCGCAGGGGAGCGTTGCAAACGTTTAGCGCATCGCAAGATGAACCTCGTAGGAATAAGGCTCAGCATCAAGATGGACGTACATTCTCGGCTTGGAAAATGTCCGGGCGACTTCTTTTATCTCCGACACTCTAAATCAGGGATGCCCAATCCGGTCCTGGCGAGCCCCAGATCCAAGCCCATTTTAGATGTCCGCCCCACACCGAATTCAAATCATCGTTGTCATTGCTCACCGATGAGACGCGTCTTTCAAAAGAATAGAAGCTGATGTCTCTCCAACAGGAGGAGCCAAATTCTTATTTTCAACGTTAGCCTCCCGCTAAGGCTCGGTAGCCCCCAAACTTTTCTCATCAACAAATTTTCTCTCTACTAGCAGTTGCCACCAAATCCTTTTTTTTGGGGGGTCTCTCCATTTTAACTGACTAGATAAAGGAGGTATCATGGCCTTCGAGCCCACTACTGCTATCCACAAGTTTCCTTACTATTATTTTTTTTTTTTACAATGGATGTGGCCATGCTGCCCACGCAAAATCTTGTCAAAGCGCTTTCCAGAAGCATGAAAGATGTTGTCGCTCCAAAAGAAGGAACTGGCTCCATTGTCTGTTTCCCAAGTGTCATTGCCAAGTGCTTTCATACTTTTCCCCAAAAATTGTTTCCTTTGATTTCCCTTCGGGATGAATATAAAAGGTTTCCCCAAAAGAATGGAAGCTTTTGTAGCTCCAAAAAGTGGAAGCGAGTTCATATGTTGTTGACTTCTCATTGTCTGTCAGGTCATTTTGAAAAGCTTAGCAGCGATGCCATGACTGTTTTCGATTCATTGTTGACTTTTTGGGCTTGGGGAAAATACCTGTGCCCATTTTTAGACCGAGAAGGCTCGTCTCGTTCCACTTCGTCACTAGCCGTCTCGATACTTTTGACCATCAAATGTTTTGAGGGCCTTTTAATGGAGGAAATTGAGATGAAAGTACGGTTGATGTTGGCGGATTAGGTGGCAGCGAGGTGAGCAGAGAGGACGACAAAAGAATGAAAATGTGGTAAGGATGATGTTTTATTTATAGAGGGAGCTTTGCCCCCCCTCCCCCCCCTCTCCACACCACCTTTCCTTGCTCTGCATTTGATTGGCAGATTCTCCCCAAAGGAAAGAAAGCGAGACGAGAGATGGCATGATAATTTTAGACGGGAGATGAGGCTGTGCATCTCTCTGCATGGAAAAGTAAACTGTCATTAACCTGGAGCAGGCGTTCATTTTGCGCCCCCGCCGGCGCACACGTCCGCCCCGTGCGCGCCGCAGAAAAGTGGCTGGCATCGCTGAGGGGTGATGGGAAAATGGGACGTTGGGATGGGTGACCCCACCGTGAGACCGACGAGACGCTGTTATTGTTTGAAATGAGGAGCGGAAAATAACGCAAAGGGTCTCGCATTGTCATCCCCTCTGCATCGATTCTCTTGTAAATCCTCGGCCCGCCCGCCGAGGCGACACGAGTTCCTGGCCGCCCTCCAGTGGGAAAAGATAATGAGAGATAATGAATAGGTAGCGGCAGTGTGGGGGGAGGGGCTACGTGCCCCCTCCCTTCCTCAAGGATGCACAAGGGTTCATTTGGGGCGCACTGACACAGCACATCTCTTACGTTGACGCACTCTCAAGGATGGAGCGAAGCGGCCACTCAGCTGACTGACTCGGGAGACGGCGTCTACAATTTACCGACACTGAACGGTCCAGCTGGCCACCTCCCAAATCTGACCCCCCACCCCCACCCCTCGGCCATCTCTTATCTGTAATGTAGTGAGGAGAAACACCACATCGAAGCCAAAAAAATAAATGGCACAGAGTTTTGCTAAATGCACAGATTACTGATTCGCGAGATAAGAAATTGTGTGTGTCAAGTTATAACGATATATTCTTTGTGATCCCATGGGAGACGGCGGTGCAAGGCGGCATTGCTTTTCCGACCCTATTTGTTGTGTGAAATACCCAAACACAAGTTTTGTGTGTTGGAATTTTATTTGGATACACCTGTTCAACATTACATGAGAAGGAAATGGCTGCATGGCCTCTGGGCCTCGTCAAGGAATTACTTAGACTTGTGATTAAGAATGATCCTTGGGGTAGTTTGACGAAAGCTTATCAGAGATATTTGGGAAATGGTTATAAAAAAAAAAAAAATCATCTACGATCCAAAATTGTCATTCTAGAGCGGGGGTCGGCAACCTGCGGCTGTGGAGCCGCATGCGGCTCATTAGCGCCGACCTAGTGGCTCCCTGCAGCGTTTTCAAAAATGTTTGAAAATGGAAAAAGATGGGGGAGCAAAATATTTTTTTGGTTTTAATATGGTTTCTGGAGGAGGACAAACATGGCACAAACATTCTAAACGTTTTATAATGCTGTAAAAATGTGTCGGATAAATATTAAATGTCAACATTTCTGTCAACGAAGATTTGCGTCATAGCCTGCGACACACGTTTCTGTTAGCAGGGCGGCATGCCAGTGAGG